GAGAGATGACTCAGGTTAAGAGCACTGACTACTCTTGCAGAGGACCCAGGTTCAATTCCCAGCACCCACATAGCAGCTAACAACCATTAGTAACTCCAGTTCTAGGAGAATTCAACATTGTTCTGACCTTTAAGGGCACTGCATGACAGGAATGTAATTACATACATGCAGGCATTACATTCATACATATAAAAATATTAAAAAGCAAAAATTAAACCTACCTTTTGGTGGATGTGCTCATTATTTTCCTTCCTCCATGTTCTATGGTTATATTTGACCTGTGCCATGATGAATTCTTTGTTTTATTCTAGCTGCTCTGAGTTTATTTTGCTTCTCTCTAGTTGCTAACTGTGGCAAACTAGATGATCCAATTGAAGCCTTTAAAAAACCTTTGCAGGCCGGGCGTGGTGGCGCATGCCTTTAATCCCAGCACTTGGGAGGCAGAGGCAGGCGGATCTCTGTGAGTTCAAGGCCAGCCTGGTCTACATAGTGAGTTCCAGGACAGCTGGAGCTACAGAGAGACACTGTCTCAAAAAGCAAAAAAAAAACAAAAACAAAACAAACCTTTGTGTGCCCAGCACTCAGGAGGCGAAGGCAAGTGACTCTCTGTGAGTTCAAAGCCAGCCTAGTCTCAAGTGCTGGGACTACAGGTGTGTGCCACCACGCCCAGCTCATATTTTTTTACTATTTTTATTTTATATGTATGAGTGTGTTGCCTGCATGCATGCAAGTGTACTCATGTCGTGCAATGCCCATGGAGGTCAGAAGAGGGTGTCAAATTCCTTGGAACTGGAATTACACATGGTTATTATCTGCCATGTGGGTGCTGGGAATTGAACCTGGGTCCGTTGCAAGGGTAGCCTGTGCTCTCAACCTCTGAGCTAGCTCTCCAGCCCAAAGGGAGTGTTCTTTCATGCTCAATACTTCAGAGCTTTGCTCCTGTGACATTTTGGGACAGCTCTGGAGACCAAAGCCTTATGAATGCTAGGCCATTCACCACTTAACTACCCTGTCCCTAGCTCTGCTTTTTGTTGTTTTGAAACAGGGTCTCACTATGTATCCCCAGATGGCCTACAGCTCACTATGTAGACCAGGATGGCCTTGAACTTGCAGAAATCTACCTCTGCCTCCTACATGTTGGGACTAAAGGAGCGTGCCACCATGCTGGGCAGTTCTGGTATCTTTTGAGTCTTGTTATGTAGCTCAAGACTTGCCTCAAACCCTTGTCCCCCTGACTCAGCCTTGAATGCCAGGATTATGAGACTGGGCTGCCACAACCACCCATTTTCTTTTTTTCCTTCTCTTTTTTTAAGGCAGAGTCTATGTGGCCCTGCCTGGTCTGGAAATCCTTAGGTAGACCAGGCTGGTCTCAAACTCACAGAAATCCCTCGTCTTTGCCTCCTGACTGTTGGAATTTAAAGTCATGTACCACCATACTCAGCAGAAAAACAATTTAAAGGGAAAAAATTTACTTTGGTAAAGGTTTCAGAATTTTCTATCCATGAACTATTGTTTGTGGGCTTGTAATAGGACTGAACAGCAAAGCAGGCTCCCCACAAGGCAGAGAGGATGCAAAAGTCAAAAAGGATGTCAGGACAGGATATAGCCTCTGATGACAGCCCCTCTCCCAGTGACCTCTAAGCAAACCTCACCCCTAAAAGTTTGTATCACCTCCCAACAATGTCATAAAATTATAAATCCAGCAGATTAAGCCATTAATTAAAGGATTTGTCAATGGTTGGCTTGAGAAGCTAGTGACCCAGCCTTCAATGCAGCCAAACCCTAAGAGACCCCTTCACATATCTGCCTTTCTAATGTCAAGACATAATTTTCCCTCCAAAACAGGTCATGTGTTTATTTTTTATAGAATCGTATTTTAAAACATTTTATGTGTATGAGTGTCTTGCCTGCATATATTAAGTGCATCCATGACGACATGAGCAATGCTGGTGGAGGCCAGAAGAGGGCATCAGACCCCCTGGAACTGGTTACTATGGTTAACTTCCATGTGGGTGCATGGAATCAAACCCGGTGCCTCCGCTAGATCAACCAGTACTCTTAAACCCTGAGCAATCTCTTCAGCCCCAGGTCATGTTTTTAAATTGTGAATACATTTTGACATATTCAGAAAGAAAAAGCGTTTTGAAATAAGCTGAAGTCAACGCAATCCTACCCTTTGGAATTATGATCCTAGTGCTTTTGTTGAATAAATGCAAATGACAGGCAATGCATGCCATGCCTCCACCCCCTCTTTTTTCCCTTTTCACCTGTGTGTACATGTTCCCATGTGTGGGCACACATGTACACGCAAGCAGAGGCCTGAGGTTGGTGTAATACTTCCTCTCCACTTTTTTTTTGGGGGGGTGCTTTTTTGTATTTTTACATTTTATTTGATGTGCATGGGAGGGGGTACATCATGCCTATAGAGAGTAGAAGACACTCTCTACAGAGTCGGTTCTCTCCTTCCACCACGTGGGTCTTGAGGATCAAATTCAGGTAGCCAGGTTTGGTGGTAAGCTCCTTTACGTGGTGAGCTACCTTGCATATGACCTGTCCATTTTTTTTTGAAATTGATTTCTACTTTATATGAGTGTTTTACCCACATGCAAGTGCACTCATGCATGCAATGCCCATGCAGGCAAGGCAAGAGGAGGACATTAGAGCCCCTGGAACTAGAGTTACAGTTGTTAGCCACAATGTGGGTGCTGGGAACTGAACTGAAGTCTCTGCAGGAGCAGCCAGTGCTCTTAACCGCTGAGCCAGCCCCAGCCCCTCTCTTATGCTCTAATATAAGGATTGAATGGCTTACATTTCCCGCTCAATATTTAGTTCTGCCCCCTCCGTGAATTATTTTGAACTTAATTTCCAAGTGTTTTGTCCTTTCTCATAGTTTTGCTCTTCACTTTCAGTCTAGTTCCTTCACTGCCAAAGAACATACTTTGCTTTCCTTCAACTAGGTCTTCAGGTACTATACCAACACTTTACCAGTGAGCCTTTCTCCAGTTCCCAGCAAATGCAAATTCCAGGGAGGTGTGACTCAACAACCACTTTACAACACTGCCATTATCTGATAAAGCTGAATGTGTACAGAGGAAAAGAATGAATGCACATAGGCAAAAGTCACTGTGGATGTTTTCACACATAGTTCAAAAATCAGGACTGGAGAACTGGCTCATCAGTTAAGAGCAGTGGTTGCTCTTGCAGAGGATCCAGGTTCAGTTCCCAGCACCCACATGGTGGCTGTAATTAGTTCCAGGGGATCCAATGACCTCTTCTGCCATCTTGGGGCATTGCACACATGAATACACACACACACACATATACACATATATACACATGTATATATGTGTATATATACAGAGAAAACATTCATACACATAAAAAACTTTTAAAATCAGTAAGGAGTTGTGTATGATGGTGCACTCCTTTAATCCCAGTACCTGAGAGGCAGAGGCATGTGACACTCTGAGATCAAGGCCAGCCTGGTCTACATAGTGAGTTCCAGGCCAGTTGGGGCTATGGGGAGATCCTATCTCAAAAAAAAAAAAAGCGAGAGAGAAAGAAAAAAGAAAAATAAAGAGTGGCAACCATACTCCAGATACAAAAATAAAAAACTCAAAACAAAAACTCAACAACCATGAAGTCAATAAAGGTTGCTTAGAGTCCCAATGTGAAATCATAAGAATGCCTGAGGATACAGAGGTTCCAGAGACTGAATGAAGTGTCTTAAAAATAGCACTGAAAGAGGGCACACCATGGCATGCCATTCAGCCCTACCTGAGGGACAGAGTTGGTCAGGAGCTGGAACACAAACAAGAAAAAAGCAGTGGCTACAATATTTACTGGCATTTCACCAAGAAAAAAAAAAGCAGGGGGCTAAAGAGTTGTGGTTAAGGGTGTGTTCTGTCTGTCCAGAGGACCCAAGTTCAATTTCCAGTATCCACATCAGACAGCTCACAATTGCCTGTAACTCTAGTTCCAGGGGATCCAACACCCTCTGGCCTCTGTTGGCACCCACCCCAACACATGGCATACAATCATATACACACACACACACACTAAATCTTTTTAAAAAGGGCAGGAAAAAAATTGAAGGCCAACAGTTATGATTGTAACAAGCAATTGCACAGGTGATGTTTGTCTCTCTTTTGAGCTTTGATCTGGATTCATTTGGGACATATGACTTACTGGCTTGGAGTGCTCATAAAAGAGTGGGGGTTGGGACTTTGGATTGGTTGATTTGAATATGAAAAAATATGGACCAGAGAGATGTCTCAGTAAAGATGTTTGCTGCCAAGCCCAACCTGAATTTGATCCCTAGGATCCACACTGCAGAAGCAAAGAACTGACACTCACAAGTTGCCCTCTGACCTCCCCACCACACACACAAATAAAATATAATTTTTAAAAAATCTGACAAGGATGTGTGGTGGCAAACACCTTTAGTCCCAGCACTAGGGGAGGCAGAGGCAGGCAGAGCTCTGAGATCAAGGCCAGCCTGGCCTACATACTGAGTTGCAGGTCAGCTGGGGCTATAGGGTGACCATCTCTCACACACATACCCCAAATCTAATAAGGCCGGGTGTGGTGGCACATGCCTTTAGCTCCAGGACTTAGAAGGCAGAGGCCGGTGGATCTCTGTAAGATTGAGGCCAGCTTGGCGTACACAGTGAGTTCCAGACTAGCTGAAGTTATCGGAGACTCTGACTCAAAAAGACCGCCCCCCCCAAAAAAAAAGTCTAAAAAATAAGTATGAAATACATGCTCCTAAGCAAGTTGTTTGCAACCTTGAGGAACTACCTGTATCTAGGAGGTATTGTATTATGTTTCACATCTGAAATGTACCCCCAAAGTTCATGGACTGAATGCTTGGTCTCAATGCAACAGTGTTCACAGTGCAGGATTTGGGGGTATGTGATTGGATCATGAGGGGCTTGACTTCACCAGTAACTGACCCATTTATGGATTCACAGCTTAATGTGTTTGGGGACAAACTCTGCTAGTTTACTTATTCATTTATTTATATCACCTTTTCTCTGAAAGGATCAGGCATTTTAACAACCACTACCCAAAAGTTGCAGCCACGAAGATGAAATGTTGTTATGGAGAAGATAAAAATACGTCACTCCAGGAATATCAGGGATAGGTAACAAGTTCAAAATAAATCAGAGCCATCCAAAGGGCCTTGTTATGGTCCCACATCACATTTCAGGGCACATGGACAAAATTTCCACATAATTTTTCTTGGGTATGAATTACCATGTTTACTAAATACCAGGTCATACGAAAACTGACTAACATTCCTTACCTTCATAAAGTTTTCTTAACTGTGAGACCACAAGCGAAGACCTAAATATTTAGCAGAACTACTAACTTCCATATGTTTTACATAAGTAAATACCCCTTCACTGTGAAGTCTCACATATTTAATAAGTTCTCAAGAAATCGTGGAGGCTTTCATATTTCTTTCCTTAAATTTATGGGGCATCTTCAGAGAACAGATTCTTTCACGTTTTCAAAGTTAAGTGGCATCACTGCGGACTGTTCCACGTTCCTAAAGTTTCTCACTAGTGTAGCTCCAATGTGATAAATGAGACGTGGAGACTTATGGATTTATATTCCTCTCATTGGAAGTGTTTCTGTTCATTTTGAATCATGAAATGTTTAGTTAGTAGGTAATCTCTATTGTAGGCTTTCCCACATTCTCAACAAAAGGTTTCTCTCTAGTGTGGATCTTTACATGGTGAATGAGGTTTGATGATGAAGTGAAAGTTTTTGAACATTCTGTACACTCATAGGGCCTTTCACCAGTGTGAGTTCGGATATGTTCAGTTCGGCTTGAGGAAGTAGTGAAATCTTTCCCACAGTACTTACACTTATAGGGTTTTGTTCCAGTGTGAATACGAACATGCTTAGTAAGGTATGAGAAATACTGAAAGGATTTTCCACATACATCACATTCAAATGGCTTTTCCACCATGTGAGTTTTTAAATGGTCATGTAGCAGATTGTACCTACGGTAGGCTTTCCCACATTCCTTACATTCATAGGGTTTGTCTCCAGTATGAATGCTCAGATGCTTACGTAAGTATGAGGAATTGAGGAAGGCTTTCCCACATTCTTTACATATACACGGTCTCTCGCCACTGTGAGTTCTTACGTGTCTACGCAGGTATGAGGAAGCATGGAAGACTTTCCCACATTCACCACATATGTGTGGCATCTCTCCACTGTGAGTTTTCCTTATATGGTTATGTAGGTATGAGGAATTGAGGAAGGCTTTCCCACACTCCTTGCATATATAAGGTCTCTCTCCACTGTGAGTTCTTACATGTCTACGTAAATTTGAGTAAGAATGGAAGGCTTTTCCACATTCTCCACATATATAGGGTCTCTCTCCACTATGAGTTCTTCCTACATGGTTCCGCAGATAAGAGGAAGTGAGGAAGGCTCTCCCACATTCCTTACATATATAGGGTCTCTCTCCACTGTGAATTCTTACATGCTGACTAAGACGTGGGGCTGAAGCAAAGGCTTTCCCACACTCTTTACATGCATAGGGTTTCTCTGAAGCATGAGTTGATATATGTGTTATAAGGCCTGAACGCTTAGCAAAGGCTTTGCCACAATCCTTGCATTTATATGGTTTCTCTCCAGTATGAGTTCTAAAATGTTCTACTAGCCTGGAGTAAGTAGTGAAGGCTTTCCCACATTCCTTACATTCATAGGGTTTCTCCCCAGTGTGGCTTCTCAGGTGCCTATTAAGATTTGAAGAACGTCCAAAGGCTTTCCCACAAAGCTTACATGGATAGGTTTTTATAGTGTGCATTTGAACAGATGGGTCATGACTTGAGTGAGCAAAATGTCCAGTGTTCCATGTACTTTGAGTTTTCACATGTGTCTTGAAATATGAGTGTTCACTGAAGATTTCTCCACACTGTATATAATAACAGAGTTCCCGTGCACTGTGGCTTCTGGCCTGTTGATAAAGGGATGAACAGTGGTTAAATAATTTTTCAGACTTAGTAATGGATTCTACCTATGTGAAGACAGAAACAGACAAGATCCTCTACTGTAAGAATCCAGTACCATCATGTCTAACCATGGAATGATGCCTCTGTATTTTTATGAAATTCTGTTAAGAATCTTAGAACCCAGTGACATATGTGGGAACGTGTACTTGTTGGGACTCTGAAACCCCATGTTTTAAGCTAGGATAAAGGTAGGCTCTAAGATATTTCTCTCAATGGGATGAATGTTGTTACTTCATTATTTTCATTTATGTTGATTTTCTACAAAAAATTCCCAATTCTTCCTGAGTGTGGTAAATAGAATCACACTAGATAATCACAGAATTTATCAACACTCTTCAGTCCCACGTGCTGATAAATGAAGTAGATGATTAACTTTTTTACATTTTTATAGTTTCTGACATGCTGTTTTCTTTCAAATTGAATGTAGTGCCATCCAATCTAATCTTAAAGCAACTGTTAAGATAGTCATGAAATTGCTTTAAAAGCTAATATCTAGTTACACATGCAGGACTTGTGGAATTTTTTTTTTAATTTCAAAATTATGCTGGGTGTGGTGGTGCAATCCTTTAATAGCAGTATTTGGGAGGTTCAAGGCCAGCCTGGTTTACATAGCAAATTCCGGACTAGTCAGGGATACATAGTGAGACCCTGTTTCAAACTAACTAATTAAATCACATTTATTTGCCACCAACCCCAATGAACTGAACTTGATCCCGCAAGACCCATATGGTAGGAGAACCAAATCCTGCAAGCAATCCACTTGTAGGGAAGCTTTTGTCACAGTATGCATGTAGATGTCACAGGGGAACTTTTTGAGTTGGTTCTCTCCCTGTATCGTGTGGGACCTGGGGATAAAACTAAGGTCATCAGGCTTGGTGGCAAGTGCCTTTAAGTCATCTCACTTGTCTGAGTGGCTTCTTTTTTTTGGCTATGGAGACCAGGTTGGCCTACATCTCACAGAGATCCACCTGCCTCTGCCTCCCAAGTGTTGAGATAAAAGGCATGTGCTAAAAGCCCAGCTCCTTTTTTTTTTTTTTTTTTTGGTCTTTTTGAGACAGGGGCTCCCTGTAGCCCAGCAGGCCTGGAACTCACTATGTAGACCAAGCTGGCCTTGAACTCAGAGATTCACCTGCCTCTGCCTCCCAAGTGCTAGGACTAAAGGCGTGCACCACCACACCCGGCTGAGATTTCTTAATGAATAGATTTCATGACAGGTTTGGGACAGCCCAAAATTGATTACACTGAAAACACTTCTCATACACACTGCTGCTCCCTCCTGGGTGCATGCTACTTGGTTCGCTATAATGGAATTTACAATCTTTTCTGGATAAGGGAATTAACAAATATCTTTTGTCAATCTTACTGTTTGTATTCCATTGGAAGTCTGTCCCCTCAAAAAATTCTGCTGAAATGTTGATTCTTTGGTGCCAAATGGCATTTCCCATTCTGAAGATAAACAGAAAAACAAAATTAAGGTTTGAAGAAAAGAAATGGTCAGTTACAAAACCATACGTTCTGCTAGGTGTGGTGGCACACACCTTTAATCACAGCACTCTGGAGGCAGAGCCAGGTGGATCTTTGTGAATTCGAGACCAGCCTGGTCTACATAGTGAGTTCTGTGCCAGCTAGGGCTACAGAGAGACCCCGTCTCAAAAAGACAGAACACAAAACAAAAACATAGGCTCCTTTGTATTGTTCTCCCTGAACCTAGTTAAGACAGAATTGACCACACTAAGGATGTGAATCAGTTTTAGATGTTTTATTTCAACATCTGACTTTTTCATCTGACTCTGAAAATTAAAACCAGTGATGGAAAGAACCACACTGCGAAGACTGAGAAGGAGCAAAGATCTGAACAAAGAATATAGACAATCAACAAGAAATACTACAGGTCATTTTGCAAAATCACTGGAGAGTCTGAGAAGACAGAGTATGAGAACTTGAGGATTTCATACTGTGCTGGATAACTTCAGTTGTCAACTTGACACATCTGGGAAGAGGGAACCTCAGTAGGGGAATTGCCTCTGTTGTACTGCCTGTGGCCATGTCTGTGAGGCATTTTCTTGATTGTCAAGTAAGGTGGGAGGGCTCAGCTCACAGTGGGTGGTGCCTTTCCTGGGCAGGTGGTCCTGGGTTGTATAAGAGAGCACAGGCCAAGGAGCAAGCCAGTAAGCAGGGTTCTTCCATGTCCCTGCTGCAGCTCCTGCCTCCAGTTTCCTGCCCTGCTTAAGTTCCTGCCCTGGCTTCCCTCAGTGATGGACCATCACTTAGAAGAATAAGATGCAATAAACCCTTTCTTCCCTAATTTGATTTTGGTCAGTGTTTTATCACAGCAATGAAAATCAAACCAGAACATTTACTTTCTTAGGTACATGGGGCACATTTTAAGCCATCAAGTGCATCCTTAAAATATAATTCACATTATATTTCCAAACATATTCTTAAGAACACTCACCTTGGAGATCTCCTCTGTGCAAATCCTCCTCTTCCAACCAGGAGATCAGACTGGGTTTGATGACTTCACATCCTTATAAGTGGCAAAGTACATGGAGGAATTTCATGCAAGGAGAGTATAAAACTCAGTATATAATTCAGGAGCTGTTTTTGTTCTTGTTTGGTCTTTTTTTAAAAAAATATTTAATTCATTATTTTTATTTTATGATTTTATGTGTATGAGTATATTGCCTGCATATATGTAAGCACACACATTGTGCAATGCCCGCAGAGGTCAGATTCCCTGGGACTGGAGTTACGGACAGTTGTTAGCCACCGTGTGGGTGCTAGAAATTGAACCCAGGTCCTCTGAAAGAGCAACCACCGAGCCATTTCTCCAGCCCCATTTGTTTGTTCCTGTTTGGGGTGTTTTGTTTGTTTGTTTGTTTTTGACACAAGGTCTCACTGTGGAACCCTAGTTAGCCTGGAACTCAATATACAGACCAGGCAGGGTTCACAGAGATCCATCTGCCTATGTGTCCTGGCATGTGTCACCTTGCTCTGCCAATAATTCACATTTCTAACAGAGTGCCTGATGGTGATGCCATTCTTCTTGGACCACATTCTGAGAACCACCACAGTGATTAAAAAACAGCCCTCAAGTCAGGCATGGTCACACACACCTTTTTTCCTAGCACTGGGGAGGCAGAGGCAGGCAGAACTCTGTAAGTTCAAGGTCAGCCCAGTCTAAATAGCAAGTTCTAGGCCAGGTGGGCCTACAAAGAGACCCTGTCTCAAAAACACCAAAAAATAAAGTAACAGTCATTACTTCTATCATGCTATTCAAAGTTGTGTGCAACTGCCCAGCACTCAGAAAGCGGATGCAGGTGGATCTCTGTGAGTTTGAAGCCAGCCTGGTCTACAAAGAAAGTTCCAGGCCAGTTGGGGCTACAGGCAGACCCTTGCACTCTGCCAGAGCTGGAGAGATGGCTCAGTGGTTAAGATCACTGACAACTCTTGCAGAACACCCCAGTTCGATTCCCAGAACCTACATGGTGACTAAGAATAGCCCTTAACTCCACTTCCAGGGGAATCCAACACCCTCTTCTGACCTCCACAGGCACTGCATGACACAGGTGCATTCACATATATGCAGGCAATACACTCATACACATAAAATTATAAAAAAAGAGCTACGCACTGTCCTTCTGTTCTATGTTGGCTGCAAATCCTTCCTTTGCCCATCATACCCATATTTATATGCTACGTGGTCGTTAGTCACTTAGCACCTTTCTATCTCAGCAGCTTGCTGGTCACAATATAACAAAACTTTTGCTTATGGAGCCCACATTTTACTAAGGGTGGCCCCAAAACATAACAGTAGTAATAATGGCAATTCAGATATACCAGAGAGACAGTGTAAAGTTCTTCTCTCAAGTGAAAAGCTGAAAGTTCTAGATTTAATAAGGAAAAGAAAAACAACAAACCAATTGTAAGCTGAGGATGCTAATGTGTATTATTTATTTATTTATTATTTATTTATTTATTTTGAGATAGGTTCACACTATGTAGCCCTGGCTGGCCTAGAACTTGCAATATGAACCAGGTTGGCTTCAAATTCACATTGATCTGCCTTCCTCTGCCTTTGAGTGCTGGGATAAAAAGCATGGACCATCATGGCTACTGCTACTATCTACTCTTTTTAAATTTGTTATTTATTTTTATCTTATGCGTATGAATGTTTTGTCTGCATGTATATAAGTGTTTCATGTGTGTGCAGTGCCCACAGAAACAAGAAGAGGGTGTCAGATTCCCCCTGGAACTGGAGTTCAGTTGTTAGCTGCCATGTGAGTGCTAGGAATCGAATGTGGGTCCTCTGCAAGAACAGCCAGGACTCCTAATTGCTGAACCATTTCTCCAGCCCCATTAGTATCTACTCTTAAAAAGAAATGTCCAGGCTGGCCATGGTGGTGCCCGCCTTTAATCCCAGCACTTGGGAGGTAGAGGCAGGTGGATCTCTGTGAGTTCAAGGTCAACCTGGTCTACATAGTGAGTTCCAGGCCAGCTAGACCTACAGGGGGGCCCTGTTTCACACACACACACACACACACACACACACACACACACACACAAAGTCCAGTCAGATGTTGTGGTACACATCTGTAATCCCAGCACCTGAAAGTGGAGGCAGGAGGATCAGCAGTTCAAGTCATCCTTTGGCTACATGAGATCTTGTTTCAAATAAACAAACAAATCTCCAATCTGTGAAATTGTGAAAAGGCAAAAAGAAATTCATGATCGTTTTGCTGATACAACTCAATATGTTACAACTATATACACACAGTTCAGTTCCATCTACAGTTCTCAATCCACTGGGGGGTCTTAGATCTGATTGCCTAAAGAAAGAGACAATGATGTTAAGTCAGAAACTGCACTTCTTACTCTCAGTGCATTCAGTCAGTGACTGCAGATCTCTCAGTACATCCAGGATAGAACATTTTTGTCCTTCGTTTACCTGCTGAGGCCAGGTTCTGGTAGTTCTCCAGCATCACTTCTCTGTACAAGTCTCTGTGAGCTTGATCCAATAAAATCCACTCCTCTTGGGTGAAGTCCACAGACACATCGTCAAAGGTCACTGAGACCTAAATCATCACATATGACAGTGTGAGTAACACGTGACAATAGGAACATCTCCACCAATGTTCACTAGAGAGAAAAACATGAGCTCTGACACCTATACAGAGATCTGAGGGCTCCCACTGCCTGTCCGGTACTCAGTGGTCCCAGGAACTCTTTCCTCCACCCACACTCAATTCCTTGTTGATTTGCTCTGGTTACTTAGTATTGATGATCATTGTGACAGGCAAACAGGTCTCACCACAACTAGACTAAAAGCCCTTCTGCTGGAACTGGAGAGATGGCTCAGTGGTTAAGACCACTGGATGCTCTTGTGGAGGACATGGGTTCAGTTCCCAGCACCAATATGGTAGCTAAGAATAATTTACAATTCCAGTTCCAGGGGATCCAACACCTTCTTCTGGCATTGACAGTCATTGCACAACACAGATGTACTTACATACATGCAGGCAAAATATGCATACACATGAAATAAAAATAAATTTTAAAAAAGCCTTTTGGCATTTCCTTAAAATATACTTCTGCACACACTCCATATATTAAATGAACAGAGAGGGACTAATACTCAAAGAAAAGGACACTGTAACCTTCCTTTTCATCTGTCACAGTAAGTGAACTTGAGAACAGAAATGTGTACTTGGCATCATGAGTGTCAAGGTTAACCAGTAATTACTGCGATTATTTTCAGGTAACACCTTACCCTTAACAGAGGCCCTAGTCTCTGGAAATTCAGCTGGGGACTCAGTCCTTAAGAGGGCTTCTGCAATGTTTAGAAGCTCTGGAGATTGGGCATGGTAGCCATAGCCCATGCCTTTAATTTCAGCACTGGGGAGGCAGAAGCAGGTGGGTCTCTGTGAGATCAAGGCCACTGTGAAAGCCTGTCTCAAAAAAAGGTGTGTGTGTGTGTGTGTGTGTGTGTGTGTGTGTGTGTGTACGTGCGTGCTGGGGAAGGCTGGAGAGAAGGCTCAGAGGACATGGGTTTCAGTTCCAGCACCCACATGGAGGCTAATAACCATCTGTAACTCCAGTCCCAGGGGATCTGAAGCCCTCTTCTGACCGCTGCAGACACTGCATGATACAGGTGCACCTACTTACATTCAGGCAATACACTCACACACATAAAATATAAATATAAATATAAATAATAATAATAATAATAATAATAATAAAAGCAGCTCTGGAGATACATCTGCTCTGAAAGAGATGAGTCTAAAATGCAGGGGTAAGCATGTCACTTGTGAGACATGGTTCCAACATACCTGGTAACAATTTGTCAGGCAGTCAGCCACCATTTCTGCCTTTATTTTTTTCCAAAAAGAGAATTCAGTCCCTAGAAAGAGCTCCTGGAAAAAAAGAGGACACAAGAACCCATGAGAATCCACAGCTGTGGATTCTTTTTTTTTTTTTTTTTTTTTTTGGCGATACTATGTAGTGCTGGCTGGTCTGAAACTGAGATTTTTTTTTTTTTTTTTTTGGTGTTTTTGAGAAAGGATCTCCCTGTAGCCCCAGCTGTCCTAGAACTCACTATGTGGACTAGGCTGGCCTTGAACTCAGAGAAATCCACCTGCCTCTGCCTCCTGAGTGCTAGAATTAAAGGAATCTGTCACCATGTCCAGCTGCTGCCTATAATTCTTAAAATGATTTTGACATTCTACCCCTATTGTTGTGATAAAATATTCTTTTTTAAAAAAATTTATTTTTGCTGGGTGTGATGGTGCATGCCTTTAATCCCAGCACTCGGGAGGCAGAGGCAGGCAGATCTCTGTGAGTTCAAGGCCAGCCTGATCTACATAGTGAGTTCCAGGACAGCTGGGGCTACAGGGAGACACTGTCTCAAAAAGACCAAAAAAAAATTTATTTTTGTACTCAGGAGGCAGAGCTCTGTGATATCAAGGCCAGCCTGGTCTACACAGCAAGTTTCAGGCCAGTTGGGCCTACAGGGAGACCCTGTCTCAAAAACACAAAGTTTTTTTTTTTTTTTGAGACAGGGTCTCCCTGTACCACCAGTTGGCCTGGAACTCACTATGTAGATCAGTCTGATCTCTATCTTACAGAGATCCCCCTGCTTCTGCCTCCTGAGTTCTAGGATTAAAGATGTGCACCACCACATCTGACCTTTAAAAAAACTTAAGATTTTTTTTAAAACTTATTTTTACTTTTATGTGGCCAAATGTTTTGCCTGCATGTATGAAAGTACACCATTGTGTGTGCAATGCCCAAGGAGACCAGAGGGGGTGTTGGATCCTCCTGGAACAGGAGCTCTAGACAATTGTGAGCTGCCATATGGATGCTGGGAACTGAACCCCTGAGCTATCTCTCCAACCTCTTGATAAAATATTCTAACAAAAGCAACCTAAAATAAAATGAGTTTATTCTGGTGTACAGTTCAAGAATACAGTCTATTTAATGGTGGGGAAGTCAAGGTAGCAAGAGCTTGCAGTAGCTGATTATATCATACCCAGACAGAAAGCAAAGAGCCATGAATAAAGTATTCAGTGAACTACCTCCATTTTATACAGTCCTTCCCACAGTTAAAATGGGAGTTACCTGGGCAGGTGAAATCTGTTCATAAGTCCAGTTATAGGGGGATCCGACGCCCTCTTCTGGCCACTGGAGACACTGTACACACATGGTGCACTTACATCCATGCAGGCAAAATACACTCATACACATGAAATATTTAAAAATTTTAAAAAAGATGAGTCATCCATATCAATTAACCCAACCAAAATAATCCCTCACAGACATTCTCACAGGCTAATTTTAATCAAAAAACTGCTCACAGATGAGTCTGGAGACGTGTCTCCTAGGTAACTCCAGATCCTGTCAGGTTGCCAATTAACACTAATTATCATACTGTCCCAGTGTGAAATCCATAGAACCCTGTACACCTGAGAAAATTCACTCAACACCTGACACCTAGAGCCAGGAAACCTGCTGAGGAGCTATGCAATCCACTGTCAAAATGTAATCAGTCTTAGAGCTGGGTGCACATGTCTTTAATCCCAGCACTAGGGAAGCAGAGGCAGGTGGAGCTCTGTGAGATCAGGGTCAGCCTAGTCTACAGAGTTCCAAGCCAGCTGGGACTACTGGGAAACACTGTCTTAAAAAGACGAGAGAGAGGAGAGAGGGGGGGGGAGAGAAAACAGTCTCATTTTGTAGGTCAGGTAACTTCAATGGATTCCTAATTTTATGTGTATGGATGTTTTGCCTGCATGTAAGTGCACCACAGGTGTGCAATGCCAGAGGAGGCCAGAGGAGGGCATCAGATCCCCTGGTTCTGGAGTTACAGATGGTTGGTAGCTGCCATGGGTGCTGAGAACTAAACTTGGGTCCTCTGAAGAGCAGCCATTGCTCTTTACTGCTGAGCCAGCTTTCTGGCCTCTGGCCTCCTAATTCAATGGGCTACAGAGAAGTGATGGAATTTGTGGGTGGAGCCTAGCTGGAGGAAGCAGGTCACTGGAGATGTGCCCCTGTAGAGAGTATTTTTTCTGTCCCCCTTTCTCTTGCTCTGTTTATGGGTCTTGGCTGCCACCGGCTGAGCAGCTGTGCTTCACTGTACACTCTCACCATGATGCTCCGCCTTATCAGAGGCCAAAAACAAACAAGCCAAGTAACCATGGACTAAGACTGAAACCTCCCAAAATAAGCTTCTTCCTCTTAAGATGCTGATGTCAGGGTTTGTTTGTTTGCTTCTTTTAAACAGTGTCTTCCTGTAACCCCAGCTGGCTTGGAACTCATTACCTAGACCATGCCTGCCTCTGCCTCCCAAGAGCCAGGATTAAAGGAGTAGGACAGCAGGCTCGGATTACTTGAGGATGGAAACCAGAGCTGCATGCATATAGTCAAACTGCAGCTTCATCTCATGCCAGGTATTTTACCACAGTGACAGAAAACTATCACAGAAATTTACTGGCCAGCTTCAGTGTTCCAAAATAAACTAACAGGGTAGCATGGGTTGGGACAGAAATCTTTATTATCCAGGGGATTTAAATCGGATTCTCTGAAAAGGAGCATCCAGAGGTCTGGCCATGGAACCCAACAGCAACTGCCATGCTCTGAGCCCAAAAGTGGAATCTGCCCCCCCCACCCCCACCTTTTCTCTATGGTAAGGTCCCTTCATTTAGGCATCTGGGGGGGGGGGATGGCGAAACTCTACATTCCCCTCTACATAGGCAGGGTTATCGGGAGCCTGCTCCTATCAATCATCAAAAAGCACACTTCCAGGTCTGGAGAGATGGCTCAGCAGCAGTTAGGAGTATTGGCTACTCCTACAGAGGCCCTGGGTTCAGCAAAGAACCCTCCGTAACTCCAGTTCCAGGGCATCCAACAACCTCTTCTGGCCTCCATGGATATTGCATGCACATGGTACACTTACATATATGCAGGCAAAACATACACATAAAAATAATTTTTAAGCACAATTTCATCATCACACAGGCACTAGCTCTCCATACATAACGCAAGTAAAAGCCACTTAGTACAGAATACCTTATAACAGCAGAATTACTAACATCAACTCATTTAACACCAATCTGAATGTGCGCTGGGTTTATTTTGTGTGTGGCTGCTACTGTGTGCATGTGGAGGTCAGAGGACATTTGGGAGTCAGTTCTTTCCTTCCACCATGTGGGTTCAGGGGATTAACTCAGGATATCTGGCTTGGCAGCAGGCACTGTTACCTGCTGAGTCATCTTACCCGCCCTACATAACCACATTTAAGGATCCTACCAACCCTTTACTGTACACAGCATGGAAAAACAGATGCAGACATACAACTACTCCAGTATCATCCAGATAAGTAGTGGTGAATTTGGACTGAATATAGGAAATTGTCACTGAGCTCTGGTCTTCTGCAGTTTTTTGTTTTCTGAGACTAGAGTCTCCTGCCTCAGTTTCCCAAGTGCTGTGCTACCATGCCTCCCTTTGTCCTGTATTTGTTATTCATGCCCCAACATGATCAGAAGGCAGCCTACACCTGTACTGTACAATGCAGTCATCACTTACATCAAATACTACCAATCCTTTCCAATGAAGCCAGGATATATGTTTTATTTTTGGAGACAAGGTTTTGTGTAGCCCAGGTTGGCCTTAAATTTGCTACGTAGCTGAGGATGATCATGAATTCCTAATCCTCTGCTTCCACCTCCCAAGTGACTGGATTACAAGCATGTAACACCACACCCTGCTTCGAGCTAGTATTTATTTTAAACATTATTTGTGTGTGTGTGCGCGTGCGTGTGTGTGTGTGTGTGTGTGTGTGTGTGTGTGTGTTTGGCTATGTATGCACACCATGTTATCCATGTGGAGGGGACAAAGTTTGGGAGTTGATTCTCTTCTATGATGTGGCTCCTGTGGAATGAACTCAGGTCCTTAGGCATGGCAGCAAGTGTCTTTACCAAAGCCATTATTTCCTTAAAAAAAAAATTATGCTGGGTGTGGTGGCCCACGCCTTTAATCCCAGCACTTGGGAGGCAGAGGCAGGCAGATCTCCATGAGTTTGAGGCCAGCCTGGTCTACATAGTGAGTCCCAGGTCAGCTGGGGCTACAGGGAGATCTTGTCTACAAAAAAAACCAAATCCCAGCACTTGGGAGGCAGAGGTAGGTAGATCTCTGTGAGTTCAAGGCCAACCTAGTCCATATAGTTCCAGACCAGCTGGGGCTGTAGGGAGACCCTGTCTCAAAAAGACCACCTCCCAAAAATTTTTTTTTATTTTATGTGTGAGTGTATTCCCCACATGTATGTAAGTGCACCCATGTCATACAGTGCCCACAGAGGTCAGAAGAGGGTTTCGGATCCCCTGAACTGGAGTTACAGATGGTTGAACCAAACCCAGGTCTTCTGCAAAAGCAGCCAGTGCTCTTAAACAGCTGAGCCATCTATCCAGCTCCAATTTTTTAAAAAATTTATTTTATTTTTATTTTATGTATATGAGTATTTTACCTGCATGTATGTAAGGTGCACCTGTGTCATGCAAAACCCTCAGAGGTCAGAAGAGGGCATAGGATTCCCCGGAACTGGAGTTGTTAGTTGCCATGTGGGAGCTGGGGACAGAACCCAGGTCCTCTGCAAGAGCAGCTAGTGCTCTTACCTGTTGAGCCAGCTCTCCAGGCCCCAAATATGTTTGTTTGTTTTTTTCTCTGTAGTCCCAGCTGGCCTGGTACTCACTATGTAAACCACCCTGGCCTTGATCTCACAGAGACCCATCCGCCTCTTGCCTAGAGTGCTGGGATTTAAGGGTTGTGCCACCATGCTAGGCTTAAGTATTAGTTTAATA